TATATATATATATATATATATATATATATATATATATATATATATATATGTATATACACATATACATATATATATATATTCTTACAGCGATGGTGGCTCTTTCTTGTGTGAGTCTTTCATACTCATCAGCGAGGAGCTGCAGCTGTAGCTTTGCTCTGCTGCGCTGCTGCAGCAGCCGGCCGATGCAGCTGCTGCTGTTGCAGAGAGAAATAAAAAACTTAAATTCTGTTGAGTTGCTGCTGAGAAAACCAAATAAACTCGTCGCCGCCAACACAAACAATAAAAATAATATCGTTATGTCCCACCAGCTTAATACCATATCCGCCTCTTCTCCTATGCTCATGCTGCTCTTCATACTCTTGCTGCTGCTGCTGCTGCTGCTGCTGCTGCTGTTATTGTTGTTGTTGTTCGTGCTGCTGCTGCTGCTGCTGCTGTTCTTGGTCTCGTCTATGGGTGCTGCATTAGGAGGAGAGGAAGCATGTGGCTGTGTAGGCGTTTTGTCTGAATCATCATCAGCAGCAGCAGCAGCAGCTGCTGCTGCTGCTGCAGTTGCTGCAGCTACATTCTCGTTGTGGTGTGTAGGGTCTATGCGAGAGGATAACTCCGCCGCCTCCTGCTGAGCTGCATGTACAGCTGAATCCCTCTCTTTTTCTAGCTGTGTCTTGGCTGCGAGTATCTCCTCTCCGTGTGCCGTGTAATGAGCTGTTGCTGCTGCTGCTTTTGCTGCTGCTGCTGTTGCTGCTGCTGCTGTTTCTGCTGCTGCTGCTTCGCCTGTGCAAAGAGAAAAGACAGCGAGAAAACCCCAAAAGGTTGGGGGGAGCATCGGGGCAGAAGACAGAGAAACTGAGAGGAGGTAGCGACCGGTGACACCGTTGAGTTGCTGGGCGTCTGCAGCACAACTCAAGAAAAAACTTTTGCGAGTTTCATGTTTTAAATAACAAAAGCAAACAAAAATATATTATTAAATACCATGGATGCTTCCTCTCTCATCGTCGAGGGCTTGCTGGGGCCCCAGGGTCTCAACCGCCAGCGCCAGCCCCGTGGGGTTGCTTTGCCGGTTGAGTCATCTGAGGGAGAGTGAAGGGGAGAGAAAGTGGAAATAAATTGCGTATTCTTTGTTTTTAACCGCAGAGAAAAAGAAAA